TAGTAACCTAATCAAGTTTCAATTAATTCTAACACAATTTAATTCAAAATCTAATTTTTTGTTTTTAATTAAAATAGCCAATAAAATTTTTTATAGAAATAATCAGAACATATCCAATAAAAGAAATTGATTACTTTCTATTAAATTTAAGTTAGTCAAAATAGAATTTCAGTTTTTAATAAGAAATTTATTTTTATTTTATTATAAACCTAATAAATAATTTGCTTTTTTTGTAAATTTTATTATTAACATTTAAAAAGTATTTTTAATATGAATATTTGTTTTAAACTTTATTTATAATTTATAATTCTTATTTCTTAAAATTTATTATCTCAAAAAAAAAATATTTGCCATTTTAATTCCATCATAATTTTAAAATTTCTTCTAAATAAATTAACAAATTTAATACAAATAATGCTTGAATTTTCTAAATTTTCTAATATAAAAGAAATTTTTATTCTTTAAATAAAATTAGTATAAAAAATTTAAAATATCTACAATTCTTTAATAGCAATAAAACCTTAAATTTAATTGCTACTTTTAAAAAATTAATTATTTGAAAATTTTTCTGATTGATGATTGATTATCCCTTAACATTAATATTTTACAAATTAGCTTTTGAAAGCATTTAATTTTTTTATTTTAAATATAGTAAAAATCATTATTAAAATTAATTAAAAAAAATTGATAATTATTTATTCTTTAAATATTTTTATCAAACACAATAGTTTTTTATAGCTAAACTTTTATATGACATATCAGCATTTTAAATAAATATTTTAATTAAAAACGAATTTATGTGAGCTATTATTATTGATATAAATTTAAAAACTTTCTTAAAGATGAATATTTAAATTTTTTTATCATTTTAAGCATATTTAAACATCATTAATAAATTACAAATGCAATATTTAGAAGAATTTTTAAAAATAAAATAGAAATAACAAATGTTTTATCTAATTTTTATTTTAAACCTAAAAAAATAAAATTTAAAAAGATAACGAATGAGTATTTTTTTTGTTGCAAGATTCAGATAAATAAAATGAGTTAATACAAATACAGAAAGGCATTTTTTTAAATAAAAAGAAAGATCAGTAATTATTCAAAATGTTGAATTGTTCTATTTTTTAGATTAATACTAATTAAATTTATTAATAGAGATATTTTCTTTAATTTCTTTAATTTTTAATTCTATAGGCTCTTTAATTAAATTGTTATATCAATTTTTTAGATTTATATTTATCGAAAAAATATTTATACTCAAATAAAAAATTTGTAAATTGAAATATTTAATTAAAAAATATTATTTTTTTAATATAATTACATATAAATACAATTCTAAAAAAAACAAACAAATCAAATAAGTTAAAAATTTATAAATAAGTAAATAAATAATAGTTTTTTAATAATTGTATTACGAATTTACTAAAGATATCTAAATTGACAATTAAAATATTTTGAATTAATATAACTATTTTTTATCAACCTTTAAATCCTAACGATTTAATTATCATAAAAAATAAAGCTTTTAAATAAAAAAATACAAACTAAATATCTTAAATTATTTCTATAATTAATGAAATTGTTTTGAATCATATGAAATATTTTAATTTAAAAAAAACATTACAAGATTTATACTTATAATCTTTGAGCTAAAGTTTGAGACCTTGATATAAATTCAACTATAACTTACACTTTTTAGAATACTTGAAAAGCTTTTGATTAATTATTGATTATGAAAAAATACTATTTGGCAAATAGATTTATTTTTCTATAAAATTTAGTTCATTTAATTATTAACAATACAAATTTAGAAAGAATCAACTGGATTAAATTCAAAATAATGAATTAATAAGTATTAAGTAAAAATGGTAATATTAGCAAATCAATTTATTTTTAAAAATACTTCAAAAAATAATATTTTTTTATTCATAAACTTAATTTCTCAATAATTAAATTTATTTTAGTTTATTTATTTAATTTATAAACAAACAAACAAACTCATTTAAAGTAATAGTCATTACAAGATTTACATTTTAAAATTAATTAATTTTAATAAGTGCTAAATTAACATCTGATCATTTTTGAGCAAGGATTTGGTTCTATGGGGTCTGCTCATTTCTAATTAAATTGTGAAAAAGGAAAAAATGAATTTCGTTTAAAGCTGAATATTTAAAGATTTATTAATAAATACAGTTAATATGAATGATATAAAGTTAATGAAGAATAAGTATAGATAGAGTTTACTGAGTAAGCACAAAGCAAACACTTTGAGCTATTTTTAATATAAATTAGATTATAAATATTTATTATTTACAATATTTTAATTATTATATAAATAGATTTTTATTTCTGAGGATGATAAAATTGGTGACTAATTATTATGTCTCGCTTTAATTTTAACGAGTAGTACCTTTTATATAGCTAAATTAAATAGAAGGTGAGTCATAAAAACTATTTATATTTATGAAATTCAGTGTTATTAAATTTTTTATTTCAAGAATATTTTAGCTTTTTCTAGACTCACCACTCAAAATACCCTCCAGTAGTGACAGTAAAAGTTATTAATAATAAAGTTAATTATATTTATTTAAGAATATATTCAATCAGCAAATGTATATTTTTTGTTTGTTTGTTTGTTTTTTTTGTTTGATTTGTTTGTTGGATGAATTTATTAAAATTTTAATTCAGTAAGATGCAAATGCATTTTACTATTTTATTAATTCTCTTCACAAAGAGTAGAATCTCTAGATGAAACTTTTTTCTTATTAGGATAGAGATTCATCATCATTGCCGAGAGTAGTATCTTCAAATGTAAATGAATTAGAAGCTTTTCTCTTAAAAATGCTGCTGCTTTGACTTCTGATTCCTCCGGAGACTGATTTATCGTTCTTAGAAGAAGAAGCAGTTGAGCAAAAGATTGAAGATTTAGATTTTTTCTTAATAACAACAGGTTTTCTTTCAGAAATAACTCTATCAATAATATAAGAAACATGCAAAAAGCCATACTTAGGATTATAATTAGATTGAATAGACATTTCAACTTCTCTTATCTGTTTTATTAAATTAAATATTAATTAATTAATTAAATTAATATCATTAAGGCTTAAAAGTAAATATTTGTAATGGAATAATTTATTTTAAGTAGGAGTTTTATTGTTAAAATTATCTCCAAACTAAAAAGTAAGAAACAAAAAAGATAATTACGCCATTGTCAGCCATTCTCAATTCACCGTTTAAGGAATAGAGTTCAGATGCGTGACTTTTAGCATTAAAAGCAGTACTCATAGACTTAAAGGTGTAATCCATGAAAGTCTCATAATTCTTTGCAGTAAACATTCTAATTATATTTTAGAAAAAAGTAATTAGTATTTATAGTTAAATAGAACTAATTTTTTATGTATTTGTAATGGCTAGATCCATCCACGAATTAATCATATTAGAGTGAATAAAATTAAAAAAGTAATTACTCTTAAATAGAATTATTTAGTGTGGTCAATAGACAGTTTTCAGTGTCCCATTTTGTGTAGATTAAGAATTTTTCATTCATGTGAATACCCTTCACATCAAAAGAACCATTTTCGTTTAATCTGTAGGCAACAGAGAGACATGGCTTAGTCTTTTAAGCCATAATTTTGTATGTTTCACTTTCAAGAAGTGTGTGATTGAAAGGTAGAGCAACTTTGGGTAGATTGTTCAAATCATTTTATAAGTTGCTGATGGAGGAATTGAGTTCAGAAGAATTGTAAAGGTGAGGAGAGGATGGTATTTCTTCAAATGAAATAGAGCTAATTATATTTGAAAAAAAGGTTATATTATTTAGTTATAGAAACAAAAAATGAAATAAACTATATTTATATCATTAAAATTATCACAGTGATATTTACAAGTAAATAATTGTAAAGTAAATTAAATAAATATTCTGTCTGCTAGGGATAATTAATTAATAATTAAACAATAAATAAAGTTGGGATTGATTGTATGCGTATATAATCTTAATTAAATTATATCGGGAAGTTATAATAAAACACTCTCATTTGCTCTATTGATTTGGACCTCTACTAAATTTAGCGTAGGTTACAAAAATAATTTGGAATTTATTTATTTATTTTATAGAGAGCATTAGAATCTAATAAATATTCGAATAAATCATATTGATAAATTCTAAAGATTTTATTGCTTTAGTTATTCAAATTAGATGATATTTTTACCTTAAAGAGTCGAGTGATGAAGCTGAGCTCTTGTTTGAAAGGTGGATAGAGAGGACAGATTTTTTTTTATTGTATTCTACGTATTAAATATTTTTAGAGAGGGTATTGACCTATATGACAGGATTAAGTTCAAAACTTTCATCTTCTTCAATGTGAGTTAGAGTGGATTTTCCTAAGTTTTCTGCGCAAAGGTAAAATTCCTATGATAAAAAAAGTAATAATTTAGTAAAAGTAGTTAAAAAATATTAAAAATTAAGGTTAATTCATCGCTTTTATTGACTAAAAAGGACAAGTACTAAAAAATAATTGAGGAAAGAAACTTTTAGTTTGTTTAATTGGTGTTTATAATATTTTTGGGGAGTTAAATTTACGAAATTACTAGGAGAAGAATTAATTATTCAGTGTAATCAAAAATAATGAAATTTCTATGGTGAAAATACAAATATTAGTTAAAGAATTTCTTTATTCATAAAAGCGCAGTAGGTAGAGAAAAATTCAAATTTTAATAACGTAAGAGAATAACTTTAAAAATAAAGTATTATTTTAAGTGGATAAAAAATGAGAGTAATGCAAATATTTAATTTTATATTTAAGATGTAAGAAGCAATTGAATTGTAAATTGAAATTAATTGATTGGCAAGTAAGTCAGTCAGTCAGTCAGTGAGTCAGCAAAAATAAGTAGTTAGAAAGTGATTTGGGATAAGAAGGAGTAAATTATAGTAAAAGATTACTGAGATTGTATAAAAGAAATGGCAATTAAAAAATTAGATTAAAATATTAAGGATTTGTAAGATACCTAATTATCAACCTTATTAATTAATTAATTTTCTTCCAAACATTCTAACTATTTACATCTTTTTCTATTTTAATTACTTTTTTTAAAAAATTGGCTTACTCATCTTTAATTTTAAAAATTGCTAACAACTGACTGACTGATTGAATAAATTGTTTCCATAGCTCATAACTGATTTATATTGTGCGTAAATTTAGCATTAAATAAACATTGCACAAGTTTAATTTATTTTTTCTTTTTACTTTATTTTTTCCTCAAGGGCAATTAAAAATAAAATTTGAATATAAAATATACATGTTCTGGGAAGGGACGCATCACTTTACAAGATGGAATACTGTTGAAGCTCTAGCAAGAAGAGATTTAAGTTGAGCAGCCACTATTAGAGAGACTATTTTGCTTCTTAGCAAGCTTGGCAAGTTTTTTGTTAAGATTTTAAGCTAAGTTAGTTGAGGCTTGAGACGTAAGGGAGAAATCGCTTTCTTTAATTGATTTTTGTTTGGCCAATGAAATAGAAAATGATTATTGAGAGCTGGATTGCTAATTATTCTATCCAATTTAAATCATTGAGCTGAAGTGAGATAAATAATTTTGGGATGATTTCTCATAGATTTCTGATTCAGAGTTAGATTAAGAAGCAAGGCGATAAGAGATTTTAGCTTGCTTTTACTATTAATTAAGCAGTTGGTTATTTTATTGGTTTATTTAGGATTATTCAGCTGCTGCGTTAAATTTAGCGTTTTGCTTGAAGAAATTTTTATTATTATTTATGGAGTTTGAGATTTATATATTAGGAGTAAAGACATTACTAACAGTATTTTATAATATAGAATTGGTGAATTGAAGGCTGGATATCATTTGCTTTTTGAGAGGATTTGAATAAATATGATTATAATCTTTTTTTAATCTTTTGATTGATTTTTTTTAATAATTAATTATAGATTTTGGCAGTAGCTGTTGATTTGTGTATTTAATCTTATAGTTTTTCGTAAGAATGTAAGATCAATATCTTGCTTTCACTGTAAAATTATCAAAATGATATAGATGGTAATTAATTCAGTTTATAGTTTGATTGACTGACTGACTGACTAACTGGATGATTGATTGATTGATTTATTAATTAATTAATTAAATAACTATTTGCAGACTTGAAGTTATTACAGATGTAAATATTATTTGGACTTTAGATTAAGAGTTAATGGAGAAGGAGAGGTTCTTATATGAAATATAATCAGAGACAGGCGAGTACGCTGCACAGGTTTTGAGAAGGGACTGAGTTTTTGTTAATTTAATTGATTGTAGATAGAGATGTTAATTTCTTATATTTTTTGTTAAATTAATTTGATTTTAATAATAATTAATTTTTTTTGATTTTTCGTTGTGATTGAAGACAGACGATTGATTCTTCTTCTAATATTTTTTAGATTTTGGTCTTTTTTTTGTTTTTTATTTATTTTATTTGTAATAATTCTTTATCAAGTATTCAGGTTCAATTTATGTTGCAAGAGTCAGTGTGATTTTACTTCCTTCAATCTTTTAAATCCATTCGAATTATTTCCTAAATTAAATAATAGGGATTACTAGAGGAGGGGAAAAACAAAAAAATGTAAAATTAAGACTTAAGAAAAATTAATGTTAATTAATTTTCAATTTTTTTGATTATTGACAAACCCTTTATTTAAATTTAACCTACCCCTAAAAGCAAACAAACAAAAAACAAGCAAGCAAGCTAATCATTTGAATAAATAAACAAAGAAGCCATCATAAACCAAATAAAAAACAAGCTCTATCTTGCTAGCTAACAACTAATAAATATACATTTTTACAAAACAAGCAACAAACCATATAAAATAATCTAAAAGGAAAGATTTTTTGTCATTCTTTATGTTACCATAGTATTTGATCTAAAGAAAATCTGAATGTGCAATTGATGACAACGATAAGATTTAAAATTTTAGATATTTTTGTACATTTTGTTTAAGGCTTTCATTGATAATTTTAATTTTAGGAATCCATTCATTTATTTATTTCGTTTAATCTTTTATATTACTATTCAAATAAAACTAGATAGATAGATAGATTGATTTATTTGAGATTTCTATATTCATTAAAAAATTTTATTCGTTTAGATACTTCTATTTACTAATATCTTTATTATTTAGCCTATGAAGTTTATTTTTTGGGGGATACTAGCATTAAGCTATAAAGAATAGTTAAGAATAATATTGTAAATGATATACAGCTTAAATCTAAAAATTAAATGCTGTAAAGCACATTGATGTTTTATACTGATTTCAAATTTAGGTTTAGTTGGTTGATTGATAAAAGTCAATTTTATACTTTTATAAATTATTAAGCTAGCAGATCCTATGGATGTTAATTGAATTCCAGAAATGCAAGTTAAAAACAATTATGATAGTGGTAAAAATTTAATTCCTAGAGAAGCTGGATGTCTTTTAAAATCATAAAATTACACTTGTTTAGTTATTAGAAATAATACATTTTGTTAGATTCATTTATCTGGACTTGGCTTGGCTGATTGAAAATGTTATCGGTTAGGCAATTTGTCAGATAAATAAAAAAATTGAAATACAGAAAATGTGATTCATAAAAAGGATGAAATTAATTTAAAATATGAATGAAATAATGAAAATAGAAGAATGAAAAAGCTAAGAATCAAGAAATTATTTATTTATTGTTAGGATGAGATAGGAATTAAAAGCGGAGAGAATGGTAATATTATTTATTAAATACAATCCTTTAATATGTAAGTATGTATTTATCAGTATAAAATAGGCTCTGTAAAAGAAGATTGGTTACAGTTTTGCTTAGCAGAATACCTAGTAAAAATCTGAAATACACAGTCAGCCTAACAAATAGCACTAACAGCGACATCAATTTTTTCTTCTATCTGTTCAATTTTAAAAAGAGGACAGCTTAATCAATTAATCTAATTCTTAAAAATATAGCTGTTTAGAACAATTTTTTAAAATTCTAATAATTCTTATCAAAAAACAAGAGAAGTCTGTTTGCTTGTCTGCAAATGAAAATACTTGAAAAAAATAATCCCTTCATTGCTTTATATTGTAAGAAAATGAAGAGAATTTCTTAAAAGGGGATTGGTTCTATTTTTGTAAGCTTCAATAAAAAATAATAAAAGATATAATGATAGAACAAATACAAAATTCAAAATAACCAGTGGGGAATAATTATTTTTACTGAATATGTGTGTGTGTGTGAATTTTTTGAAAATAAAATAAGATATATTATTTTTAAATAGTAAGTAAGTACCTTGAATTTATAACAAATATTTATAGTTTTTGCAGGTGAATAGTACTTTCTATATTCATTTAATTTTTTTCATTGATTGTTATGCGCTACTATTTTATAATATTCTATGAGAAAAATTTAGAGCACTGATTATTTATTTCCCTGAATTTGGATTTGTGGTGTTCGACTGTGATGATCAGTATGTATTTAATTATTTATTTATTTACCTTTTGATTTAATTAATTGTTTTTAAAGCATCTTTCTTTAGTTGCTTTTTAATTTCCTTGTTATGGTTTTTAAATAATTTGCTTTTTCCAGCACTAAAAAAATATATCAATAAATAAATTTCTATCAACCAGTAGGGATTAATAATTTAAATTATTGTAATCATGCATGTCCAGCTAAAATTTCATTTGGATTTCAATATACATATATTATACATATCAAAACCCATAATCATCTTAAATATTCTTTATACAAAAATAGTTTTTCTAATTTTATGTCTCGCTTTTTGATTTAAAAATTGATGCTTAGCAATGTAATCAATCCCAATCAAACTTGATTGTATATGGTTGGTATTAAAATATAAATGTATTTTTATTCCTTTTAAAATAAGATATAAACCACTTAGAATTCATCCGTTTCTCTAAATGGTCATTAAAATGACAATTAAGAAAATTATTTAGCTTATAGTAAACATTCTTACTATATTTGTTTTAGAAATAGCAAGAAAAAAATAAATATAGTGAGATGATTTTTAAAAAAAAGCATATTCTTGCAAATAAGCTTGCTAGAAATAGATGAATGTATATATCTAGGTATATTATCAAATTTATTTGAGAAGATTATCAAATAAATCTTTATTTATTTAGTTAGGTTTAATTGAACTTAGTAATTTTAATTAATTTTTAAACAAAGATCAGAAAGTAAATATACTCTATTAGGTCAAAGCTTGAATTATCTAATTATTTAAGCGACATGAACACCTAATAAATTTCTGGCTTAAATTAATTAGTTGCGAAATAATATTCATGTAATCTAATCGTTATATTATTGGTAAATAAGTATTATACTGATAGAACCCAAAAACTTATTATTCAAAATTTTGACTCTTCGATTTAAATACATGCTTTAGAAGAATCTTTATCTGATTTTCCAGTCTTTTGAAACTAAGAAACTTCATTTCGTTTTATAATGAGTAAGAAAGATTCAATTTAAAAGTATGTTTCTTCAAATGCAATTGCCTTTTACACTAATAAATTAAGATTTATCTACAAAGTAAAAGTTATTCATTCAAATGTAATTGAGTTTTCAGGTGCTAACTAATCGGTAATTAAAGCGAAGAAATTTGATCGCCACAGAAAAAGAAATAGTAATATAAAAATTATAAGAGGTTGATATATATAGGATGCTTGCTATCAGTTAACTCAAAATAAATTTAAAAATATATTTTGATGGCCTAATTAATTGAATTTATTTTGTGTTTAAGAAAATAAATATTATTTTTTTATACTAAATATAATAAATACTTCTAAGTTTGGTATTTTAAAAATTAAGAGTGTAAATTATCATTTAGAGAAGATTTTAAATAATTTAGGCAACGATGATAAATATTTCGCTTAAAGTGCTTAGAAAAGAAACTAAAAAAATAAATTAAAAATGGTTATTCGTTGATCATATATAGTTAAATTAAAAGAAAAAACAATATAATATAATTCAATTGCAATATTGTTTAGAGTAGCTTTGAGAAAAATTGAGGTTATACTGAAAATAGATTCAGGTTGAATATTTTTTAAGATAATTAAAATCTACTGTTTGTATGGCTAATATTATAGATTTAAAGAGTGGATGTTTGATAGTTTGTATTTTGATTATATTTATTAATTCATTATAGAGATTTCAATAAAGTGTATTGACCTTAATTTTTTATCAAAAATTAGCAGATCAGCACTTTTTTGCGTGAAGTTTAATCTTTAATTATAATCCACAATTAAGCTAAATATAATTTTTAATCATGTAAAAAATAGCCTAAATTAATTATCATGCTAACTTCTTTTAGGGTTTAGACTTTTATTATTGCTCCGTTGACTTCTAGTCAAATAAATAAATAAACATTTTGTTAACTTATTAATTTACACATAGAAGTAAACCAATTCAATTAACTTGTAATTACTATATTAAATGATAGTGCGCTTCCTCACTTTGCTAAATTATAAATTTGATAAGTTAATTAAAAAAATAGATGAGTTAGCAATTTGATAAAGGGAAATAATATAATTTTTGATTTCGTTTGAAATATTCAAATTTATTTATTTATTTACTATTTATTTATTTATGCTTGCTTTCTCTCTAGATGTAAGAAGCCCTTTCAATTAGATTTTTAAATATCTTAATTTGTGGATTATTCAGTGCACTATGATTTTTTTTATTATAATGCAATTTCTAAGGCCACCAAATGATAAAAAATTATAGTAATTTATGTGGTGTGGGGAGACTAGTTAAAGCGATTTCAAATTAATAAATAAATAAGAGCTAAAATTCAATAATTATTTTTTCTATCTAGCTTAGTACTTAAATTGCTATTAATCCTTTAATCTCTCCTTTTCCATTACTTCTAAAGCTAGCTAATTTGACTAAGTAATCTCAGAAAAGGAACTTGAGAAAAAACAGAATGCAAAATTTTATTAAATTTTTCAAGAACAGAATGAACTATCTATCTATCTATAAAATTGTAAAGAAACAAAAGAAATTACTGCTTTAATAGCTAGCTAGCTAGATTTTGGTGCATGTGATTATATTGACTTAATTTAATTGAAATAGAAAAATAAATTGAAAAAGAAATAAAGAAACACTCACAAAATAAAAGGAAAGATTCATTTCACATAAATCGATCAACTCGACAGTTACAATTTATTAAATAAACAAATATTTTGTATTTTATTTTGAAAATGCCAAAGAATTAGAATGACTTGTAGTTTTGCAATCATTTACTACTATTTGTTAAATTTCACTTTTTTACCTTAAATTTCTTCTATTTTTTGTTTAGCTGATACTCACTGATTCTGCAAGTAAAGTAAGTGAATTTTTGTCACAAATTTTTTATTTTTCTTATAATTTGATATTTTTATAAGCCGAATCAAAAATAGAGCCAGCGTATTTTTATTTTACTTGTAATCTAAAAATGCATTAAATTTCATATTTTTTATTCTTCTTCTTACAATTATACGTATTTACTACCCGTCTCTGCTGGCCTACTCAAAAATATTAAAAAAATATTAAAGAAAAATTAAAAGTAATCTCCCAAAAGAAAAATATTTAAACAAAAGCATAATATTATTTGTTTGTTTGTTAGTTAGTTAGTTAGTTAGTTTCTTAATTTCTATTTTCTTTATTTATTTATTATTTTTTACACATACAATTCATTTCTTTACCTTGAGACAAACAAACAAACAACCACAAGAATAATTTACTTGCAAGTCTAATTTTGTAAAATTTTTGTTATTTTTTGATAATACATAGGATAGTATAGCTTTAAAAGTCTATTTTGTCTTAGTCTAATTTTTTTGATTTTAAATCATACGCTTACTTTAAGATAAGAAGAGAGAGACACAAAAAAAAATTTTTAGATTTTTTAGAATTTGAATTACAACAAAGATACAAAAAAATCCAATTTATTTATTTATTTAAATTATTAATGTATTAAGAAAACTCGCACTATAACATCACTCTTACCTTCTCTGTTAAAGATTTTCGTAGTTTGAAGAAATTAATAACACTAATTTACTCTTTATTTTTGTTTTTGAAAACTAATCAATTTTCAAAACTGCAATAACTAGAAAATACTCTAAAGATCATAAATGAATATTTATGGCGCATCTTACTTTCAATTATTAGTTTTAGCAGATAACTAAATAAAGACTCTATAATAATTAAGATGTAAAAACCAATAATAAATACAATGTGAATCAGGACTTTTATTATCAAAAATTAATCAAGAAATAAATAAATAAACCCTTTTATTCAAAGATATTTATTTATTTATTTATTTATACTTATAACCTGAAGTTATTTTGATTTAGGTTCAAAAGAGGTTACCTACATAAACAAATACATTCTTATATGTCTTTTTATTTAACAACACAAAAAAATTTTTGATACCAGAAAATTTAGTTAACAAAATACATTTTTAATAGCAACTCAAAAAACTCATCTAAGTTAAGTAATAGTCTGCTTGCTTGCTTGAGTAGACGCAAAAGGAGTTTTTGATATTATTTTTTCTCTTTAAAGATACTTTTATATATAGGCTTCATAAAAATTTACTCTCAAATACCAAAAAACTACCAAAATTCTCAAATACTTATGTTGGGAAAATAGAAATTATAAAAGGAAATCCAGCAATAAATACCATACGAAACAAATAGATCCAAATTTAATTCAAAATTTTGTATTTATTTATTGAAGATTAATCAAAATTTAAAAAGAAAAGTAAAGTTGACAAGATTTCAATAGAAAGTGTAATGCTCATAGTTTGTTTTACTTAAGAATATCTCTAAAGAAAGGAAAATCTAAATTCTGCTTTTAAACAAAAATAGACGCATATTATACTGTAATTACAATATTACAATTTGTAATGCATAATAATGGTCAATCAACTAATTCATATATGTTATTAATTTCAAATAAATGCATCCTATATTTTTTTTAGCTAATTTACTTTTTCTGAAGAAGCAAAATATTTATTTATTAACTTTTTTTGCAGCCAACCAAATCTGCCTAGATAAAATAATATCCATTTAAAAAAAAAAGTCTAACAAGTGTAAACAAAAAGATTGCAATTAATTGTTTAGAGGGACTTTCTTTTAAACTTCTTTAATGTTTAAGTTCTTATTAAGAATTTCTAAAGTTAAATAGAGAGCCCCTTCTATTAATAAATATTCGTTGAAAGTAAATTATATTTCTTAAAGAAAAGAAGCAAGCTCAAACAAACAAAGAAAGAAAGTCACAATCAATCAATCAATCAATAATCACGAATTAATTTCTGGTTATATTAAAAAAGCTTAGAAAATTAATAATATAAATTTTTTGCTGACTCTGCATCGATTAAAGAGTATCTAATTATGAATTTACAAATAGCATAAAGCTGGCTAGCTGGCTGAACATTATTTAAATTTCAATTTGGTTTAGCAAGTCACATGTAATCAATTTACTACTGTCTTTTCTTTCTGGTCAGCATGTATTTTGCGCTGTATTTATATTTTCCTAAATTATTCAAAACTGAGCCAGTTCGCCGCTGTCTTATATTTTTAAGAAGAATGTAATCGAATATGAAAATCAGCTAAATAGCTCAAGAAATTTATACTTTACATAAATCAAAATACAGTCGTTAACATTCTCTTTAATATAAATCAAAAATTATATCCAAAATTAATCCAATCAATAATTTATCTAAATCAAACAATCATTTAATCCATCAACTGATTAATTAATCAATATTTTAATAAAAGCAAATGACCAAAAATAGGTCCTAGTAGTATTATCAACATAATATGGCGCATTCATTCCCTTAACAAAATAAAATTTTGGCAAATAAATAAATCAAATAAATACATAAAAACAAACAATAAAAATACTAGAAATTGAAGAAAAAGTTAAAGCGATTTGTTGGTCATAATTATTTTCAAATAAAAGCCAAAACATTGTGAAAAACAATAAAATAAATTCAAAAATAGAGTATTAAGAATCAAATGTAAATAAAGGCAAAGAAAGAGATTTTTAAAAATGAATGATTGATTGATAAATAGATAAAAGGATAATTAAATCGAATAATGATCGACGAAGTACACTCAAAATTAATTATTGAAAATCAATCTGATCAATTTTTAATTATTTTTTCTTAAATTGCTTACTTTTGAATTAGCTATAAACGTCATTCAATTTTGTTGTCTTCTATATTATTATAACATTAAAAATAATGTCCCATTTTTCTTCTATAATTACTTTGGCTTTTTCTGTTCGTTAAATGGATTATATTTTTATTTTTAAAAGATTTAATGAATCTGTCACTAAAATCTTTTTCATTTTAGTTTACTTTTTTAGCAACAGACAGATTCTATTAAGTAAGTTAAAAATTCTTATTTATTACTAAAAATGCTAAATTTAATTTCAATCGATTGTTAATGTAATTTAATATGCACAAAAACTGGCTATTAGGAAGGAATTCATTCTATCTAAATATTTTCTCAATTTAATAAAATTAAGCAAAACAGAAGCAAATATGAAAGTAAACTAAACTAATTGAAAGATACTTTAAATTATCAAATAAAAATCTTACAGAAAAACAAATTAAAAAGCAAAAAAGATTAAAAGTTTAACAAGAAGATTTATTTATTTATTTATCTTGAATTGTTTATTTTTTTTTAGTTTGATCCTCTTTGTTTCTTTAATCGATTTCATAAATTAATTTTGGATTCTTTTAATGTTTGCTTTAATGTAAAAAATTCAGTCAATTTTTAAATAAATATTCTTAGAAGAAAAATAAATTAAAAAGCTAGTGCAAATATTTTACACTAAGATTTCCAATATATTAATTTCGTTTTGATAGTTTTTATTAATTAATTGAAATATTAATGGCCTTTTTGTATTAATGAATAAACAAATAAAAAAATCAATGTCTTTGTTCTAATTTATTTCTTGGTTTTTTATCTGTAATGAATGATCTTTCATACAGAGTTTGATTAGTTTACATGAATTTTTTTTTGTATTCTGATTTTCAATTTTGCCATTAATTATTAAATAAATAACTAGCTCTTCTATTCACTTCTTATTTATTTATTTTCAACTGGATGGATTGAAAAATAAAATTTCTTTTAATTATTAATCTATATTATGTGGCTATTATGTTTTGAAACCAGTAGGGATATTTAAAAAAGAAAATCAATTAGTGGTAGTTTTCAACTCTTCATAAAAAGTATGAGATTGTTTGTACATTCTTTGTGTTTTTTTCTTATGATCAAAATCTAATTTGAAATACTTTTGTTACACTTTGCAAATCACTCATTATCCTTAAATCAGTAATATTTTAACTGACAATCAGCTGATCTTTCAAATATTATTATTAATCCCCAAATATTCAAGATTTATTCATTCTATTAACACTAACAACCTTAAATTTTTTATCATCTTCAATCGATAAAAAAAAAATCGTCATCTTACAACTATTAAATTGCACTTCAATTTTTTTCTCATTTATTCTCCACCCAACTGTAATATTAATATCAGTCAAATATTATATTTGTTTACTCTAACTTTAAACATCTCAAACAAACAAAAAATTTTTTATTCCGTAAATATGTAATCTATTAACCTGCAAAATATTTTTGTTTATGCAAACCAATTTTGTTAAACAACTTATACATACATCTACGCTTCTTAGATCTTTAAAATCTTATCTTAACAAACATGAATTTCATATAAAAAAAATACTATTGAGATCTAAAATCTTAAACTAGTTGATGATTAATTATATATCATAAAATAAAGAATGTAAATACTGATATTTGGTGCAAATACTTAAAAAAACAAAAATGTACAAATTGATAACTCTTAACGCATTAATTGTGAATGCATTTACATAATAACCGAAAATTCAATTTCTATTATTGCAATCTAATTCGTTTAATACTCGAAATTCAAAAAGCTGTTACTATCATGAATTTTGTTTACAAATAAATTGTTTATTGCTTCATTCAAAAACTGTAATCAAGTTTTGCCCACAAAAATAAATAAATAAAAAATTTTTAATATTATATATAATTAATTTTCTTTCAGAACTGGTAGGTCAAAGAATAAAAACTTTTTTGTCAATAGAATCAATTATTAGTTCACTACGATTAAATACGATTTTCTAAAATTCAAAAAAAAATTGTCTAAATTTATAATTTCAATAAGCTAATCGACCAAACAATAATTACTGAATTTATCCACTAATATCAACATTTACTTCTTTTTAGAATTTAATGTAAATATTATCATTTATCTATGTTAGTTGAACAAATATACTCAAAAATTGAATAAATTTAATTTCTTTCATAAAAAAAGAAATTCTTTTTGCAACCAGCGCAAATAAACAGGCAGAAAAAAATTACTTACAATATAAAATTATATTTACTTACTATAAATAAATAAATAAATAATTTATTTATTGGTTGCTCGTTCTTACATATCTTAGTTATTTTAATTGTTATAGTTTCCATCACAAAATCTAACAAATTAATAAATTAGTGTTTCTTTATTTTTTTAAAAAAATTGTAGACCTAATACATCAATTACTAAAAATATTCAAAGCCATAAAAGCAGATTTCCTTTATTGCTTAATAATCTTAAGCTTATACTTAAAAATGTTAATCCTACTTTAACTTTTATTATAGTCTATGAATATTTCACAGGTATTTGAAAGTATAACCCTTTTAAAAAAATTGATTTAATTGTGAAAAATTGAATTAAAATGTGGAAAATAATTTGTCCTAATATGAAAAAGTTAATTTAGTTATCATTTTATCTTTTTGAAGTTAACTTATTTAAAATATTTCTTATTTTTTTGAGAAGCATTCAAACCATTTTTTACTAAAGAGTAAGTAGTTAATAAATATTTAATTTTTTTAGGATATGATTAATAACTTAATGGCCTATTTTTTACCAATTTAAAAACATAGTAAAATAAAAAAAAAATAATATTACTTCTTAAAAAAATAACTATTATATTGAATAATTAAAATTTTTGTTTTGTTTCTTAATTCTATTTTAAAATCTAATTTAGTTACTTACAACAAAAATATTTATTCAAAATGAATATTGTTATTCAAAAAAAATTACATCATCAATTAAGAAATAATCAAATAACAAGTAATCAAAACAAAATTTTTTTTTTTTCAAGTAAAAGTTAAATTAAGTAATTCATGAATTTTTAAATTACTTTCTACTATAAGAATCACTTAAAGTACTGTGATCTTTACACTTTTAAAGCCAAAATTTGTGAAAAAAAGTCAAAGATATTTATTGATATATAAAATTTTAAAAACTTTAATTTATAAACTTTTGTATCTAAAAAAATAGAAAAATACAGTAATCAATAACCTAAATACAAATGGATAGAAAAACTAAATTTAGATATTAAGAACCAGTAAGAAAAACTATTATCTATTTTTGTTTTGAAATTTATTTTAGAAATGGCTCTGTAACAAGCTAATAGAAATAATTTATAGAGGAAAAGGATTGAAATAATTAACAAATTAGAAACATTTTTTAATGTTTTAATGTGTTTAAAAAGTTATAAGAAATAATTTTAGAAATTCTAACACCTTTATTTAAAATAAATACACATTTAGAGCTAATTTTTGATAAAATAATATTTTCTTTCTGGATAAAATTAAAATTATTAAAATAGATAATAAATAATTTTATAAATTAAATTTAAAAATATTTATGTACAAATTTTAAATAAATAAATAAATTAAACTAAAAAGTAAATTTATTAATTTTTTAAAAAATTATTTTTTACTTAAAGAGAAATTTTAGAAAAAACGTAAATAAGATCCATTAAGCAATTAATTCTATTAAATTTAAATTTAAAATGAGTCTAATTAGATTAAAGATTTTTCATTTCTTTTCTTCTGCTTATTCTTCAATATAGGCTATAAGCTAAATTTTAAATTTCCTATTAATTCTTAGCAAAAAAAATTAATAACTAATCAGTGAAAATATGTATGAGTCAACAGAAAAGAAACAGGTAATTAAAGGAAGGCGTGTATTATGGAAGTGTTTGAATTTGTAGTAGAAAAGAAAATTTTTATCTATTTTTAATAAAAATTTGAACCCAATTAACAAACAAAAAATGTTTGTATGTATTTATTTATTTATTTCATTCATTTTTTATATTTGATCCAATATCCTTAATAGACTGACTATCAATTGATAAATTTGATAATAAAATTGTGAAATTTTCTCATACTAAAAATTCTAATTAAAAGTATAGTGTAAACAAAAGTTCGCAATATATAGATTTTCTAAAATAAATATCCTTTATAATAAATATGTTTAGCCCTTAGAATAATGTAGCAGCAGCCGCAGCAAATCCTTTATAAAGAAACTAAATGCTTTCATAGTTGTTGAGATAGTGCAATTATAATTAAATGTAATTAATAATTTCTAGCAACTATATTAATGTTTTTTTATGATCTATTATAAATTATAGTGGCGCTCTAAACAATACATGCTTTTAAGTATTTAGCTCATACACTGAAATGACTCCTTGCCTTTAGACAATGAGTAAATAAATAAATATTATATTGTAAGTAATTATTTAATAAACATATTATAAATAATATCAAAAGAGGTAGGAAATACAACTTAAAATGTAATTGAACTTGTTGGAAATGGTAAGTAGCAATTTATTTTAGATGCAACAATATTAACTTAAATAAATTATCATTAAAGTTGGCATTAAGTTGAATAATAACACTTATCACGTTCTTACTCATATAGTATTCCCCTTATAGTTCCCTACTTGTCCTCCTGTTATCAGAATTAAGAACATTAATCGTAAATAAATAAATAAATAAATTCTTACTCATATATTTTGTTTAAAATAAAAATATTCAATCAATGAACGTAAACATAATACTTTTTATATAAAATCAGCTGATAAATTCTGCGTTAATGCGAAATACCTACAAAACTACACAAATGATGGCTTCATTACTCTTTATTTGTCTGAGACATAAACTTGGAATCAGCATCAAAATATTGTAAAAATTATTTCTGCTGAATTGCTTTTTGATATTATTGAAAAAAAAAAAAACAAAATAAATTAAATTAAATTTCTTCCTTTCCATTTTAAAAGCAGATAAATAAATTTAAAAAAAAAAAAAATATTTTTGGACAAATGGCTATCTATCGCTCTTTGTCAAAAACTTTGAATAAAATGATTTCTTTTTTAAGGCAATTTTTATTAATTTATATTTTAATAATTGAAAAATTATTAGTTAAGACTTCTATAATAAATGCAAAAAGAACTCTCAGAAGCATTCCCTTTTTATGAGAAAAAGCAATAGTTCTAAAATGGAATGGGATAAGTATAAAGCAATCCCAATAGCCCTTATAACTAATATAACTACTAAAATTAATAACGTCCTCCTAGTTCATTTTAATAAAATACTTATGTAAATTAAGGGGGTTATCAGTAAAATTAATACAATAACATGTATGGAAACTATTAGCAACCACCAAATCCACTATAAATCAACAATAACAATAACAATAATAATTTTGTAGGAGGAAATCAACCTATTTACATGGGAGTAGGTTAATAGCCTTAATACGAATAGTAAGTAGCAGTTAGATTAAAATAGGAACTTGAAGTCACATTAAAAGGAATATTAGAAGAGTTTAATGAAGAAAAAAAATCATCTGATCAGCTCTACAGCATTAAATAAAAGCTTGATGAAAATGAAGTTTCTTGTAATTAGTTGGAGGAAGAAATTAGAATGAAATCAAGTTTAATCCAATAGCAAATTTCAATTCTTTAAGAATTTATCTCTTAAAATGATTCTGCTAGCATAAACAAGGACAATGTATAAAACTTCATCAAAGAATAAAATCCTTTGCAAAACTAGTAAATATTTAGAAAAAATAAATCAAAATTCAATCTAATTCTATTTTTAAAAACAGAATTTTAGAATTAACAAGTGAATAAGAAGCTATTAAAGAAACTATTATATATATTGAAGAAGCCTTTAAGTAAAAAAAAATAGATTTCGAGACATTAATCAAGGTAAAATTATTAATAAATATAATCTCATAATAAGTTTTTTAACTTAAAAATAATTAGTCTATTTAATACTACTCTGAATTAGAATTCAATACTAAATTACTCTTAAAAAAATGTGTGGCAAATTATAAAAAATGATATCATTTTAATCTTAAATTTAATCATTATTTGTAAATTTAGCTGTAAAAAACAAAGCTTCGAAATGAAAATAATTTTTATGATTGTGCTTTTTTAGCTTTATCTATTAATTTTTAAAGAAATTTTGTGTAAAAATATATATATCAATCTATCTATTTTATTCATATCTCTAATTCTAAGTTTTTAAAGTAATATTTTTACAACTATTATAAACAAAGTAATCAAAAATGTTAATGCTTATTTTGCAATACAACTTTGATCTTCTAAAATACTTTTTTGAATTTTAATTGTTTCATTTAACTATTTTAATATTGCCTTGTGTAATTAGTTATTGAAAAAAACAGTTTATTTAATCATTCTTGATATTTAATAAAAGCATATAAAAACTATCTATTTATGAAAATAAAGTCTGTAAAATTGAAAATAAAAGCCTTCAATAAGATAAAGCATAATATGAAACAAAAATATTTTATCTTTTTAAATAAAATTCTAATAGTAATTCATCGAAAAGAGCTGAAAATTTTATTGATTAACTTAATAATAGTCTGTAAGAATTTTATTTATATATATTATATAATTTATCATGCTTTTATGGATCTAAAATAAATTTATTGAATATTTTTACAGTTAATTATGAAAATATTTAAGGATTTTTAATTTTAATAATTTTATCTATCAAAATTAAATACTTACTTTTACTTATTTTATTTAGATTTAAAATCAAGAACTTTTATTTTTGCTTAAATATTTAATTAATTAAATACATAATTAAATTCACTCTTAACATTTATTATTGTATTATCGTTATTGGTAGAATTTATCCATCTAAAAGTATAATTTATACATAATAATTTAGCTAATTAGTGCTTATAGATTAATAAATATATAAATAAAGAAGGTAAATTTTAGATTAAGGGAGAGAGATTAATTGGTAAAGTTCTAATTTAATAAAGAATACCGCAGGTTCGAATCCTCTCAAATCTAAATTTAAATAAGGGTTTAATAAGTTAATTGTCTGTGTAGAAATACATAAGATAAACTATTTAGTTAGTATAGCAATTATTAATTGAATGTATTTAAACCCTAAAGAAATGTTCTCGCGATGGCGAGTTTTAGGCGGAGATATGCCTATAACTTCGTAAAGCAGTACTACAGTCTTCTCTGATAAAAAGGAGAAGATATTTTTTTACCTCAAAATTTAGTTTATAATCCAAAAAACTCAAGTCTATTGATTTGTCTGTCTATAAACTGAATAACCAAATTTCTAAAATGGTTTCATAATTTTTTTGAATGTTTATTAATTGAGAAACTTTTTATTAAAAAGAAATATAACATAGTTTAGAATTAGATAAACATTTCTTTTTTAAGCATAAAATTCTATTAAAAAAGTGAAATAATTATTTATTTTTAGTTTATCAATATTTATGTATTAAAAATATAAAAAATGGTAGGTCTTATTTATTTATGAGTCAGTCAAATATAATTAATTAAATTTAAACTAGAAATAAAATAATTTCATCAATTAAAAATTTATATTTTCGTTGAATAAAAAAATTAATGAAATTTATAATAATCTTTAATGAGCTTATAATAACTTATTTAGATATAAAATAGATTATATTACTTGATTAAGCTATTTTTAGAAATAAATATTTTTCAGGTTATATTACATTTTTAATGAAAATATTAATATCAAATTTTTATTACAAATATTTTTTAGATTAATTTTCTATGTAAATATTGAGTGGATAATTAATTAATTATTATTGGTTTTTTGATAGAAGTTAAATTTTAGTTTTCTTTTCAATCAATCAATAACTATTAGATATCTTTTTATAGGAGAAAAGAATAAATGCTGAGTCATCCTGCCTATATTTCAATACCTGCAGTAATAGTATCAGCTGTCCTTATCTTTCCTATTTATAATTTTTATAGGAGGAGAGAAAGGTAGCAATATAAGTCAAGATCTCCTGTTTTAAGCATAAATTGTTTAGTTTTTGAACTTATTTGCTTTTGGATTATTGTTGCATCATCAATTATCAATTATGATGAAACAAACCCTACTTAAATGAATGTAACTTAATGGTCCTGTCCTAATGATAACTCAGTTGAAAGTTTAAATAGATTTGTGCTTTCAAATAAGTTTTTTATTGCAATATTTACAGCTAGCAAAAACTCTTAAATATTACTATTCATTGCAAGATGTTTTAGGATCACTTGCGCCTACAATATTTAATGGGAAAGGCATTAAAAATTAACTTAGTTCTTTACTAATCAGATATATATTTTGGTTATCATATATATTCTGTGGGCAGCTGTGTTTTTAATGATTTTTTTCTTGCCTTATTTGTCACCTTTCAGTTTTTGGATGATAGAAATTTACACTTCAGATACTGCAAGATACATTTTCAGCTGTATTTTTACTATATATTTCACCTTTTGTGTAATTGCTTTATTGTATTGCCTTTACAAAATAGATCTCACAGATTCAAGATTTAAAATTAAATATGATATCCATTTAATTGTATCCTGCTTCATTTTTACTAATTTATTTTTCTTTGCAACATAGAATGTCCCTTGCTCAAATTCAACTGATTACTATTTTTTAGGCATAAATCCATTTTTTTGGATTGTAATATTATTAGATCTATGGGTTGCTTTGGCTGTAGGATATACAGTAGTTTATGTTGATGCTAAATTACAAGATGAAAACTATGTTTTGATGCATGAAACTAATATTGGAAATATAAAAGGATTTATGTGCTACAAAAATTAGTATGATTGCAAACAAATATTTTTACTTTTTTTAAGTACACTTTCTGATAGAGAATGCAATCGTAACTCTTTTAACCCTCAGATATCATAAGAACATCTCATAAATGCCCCATTAATATATGAATTATTCATTGATATTCTCACTATTGAAATCAACATAAGTAATAACGATTCTGAGTTCAATATTTTACAAGCTTAAAACAACACAAATAATGGAGAAACTTAGATACAAAATTATTTTTAAGCTATAATTTCTGATTATTTTACTCCTAATAAAGTTGATAGCTATTTAGGATAATTATATGGTAATTTTATTGGTTATTTACTTTAATTTATATTTTTTTAGGTTGAATTTTAAAATATATTAAAAACTTTGTATTATTGGATATTTTATTGAATTAATAAAATTCAAAAACATTCATTTTTCAAGTATATTAATGAAAAACTATGTTATATTAATTATATATAGGAATTGATTAACAATGTAAAAGAATAGTAGAATTAATTGAAAAAAATGAGGATAGTACTATTACAATACCTAATCAATTTATTTCATCAATTATGGTTTAAACTGAGGCCTACATAAATGAATTCTTTGAAGCATTTAAGGAAACATCTTCATATCGCTTTATGTCTAGAATATTTGCTCATAACAGTATTTTATCAGAGAGATTGATAAGTTTTAAGTTAATTTCTTGAGATAAGTATGTAATTTTTATTATTTTTATTCAAATATTAATAAATATATTTAAAATATCATAATAGTCAATTTATGTAAATACATATTTTATCATTTATTTAACTATTTTTCTAACTAAATGTTTATTAACTTCATTCAAACAATTTATAATTAATTATCTTAACCTCAAAATTAATTAAATATTAAAATCATTATTAGATACAAAATAATTTAAAAAAATAAAATACTTGTTTGCAATAAATTTTTAGAAGCTAATTTGATTTATGAAGTGCCTGCCTATATATAAATAATTTTATTTTACAAAAATGATAAAAGATATAATCAAGCTAATCAATCTATAAAAATTAAAAGAATTTAATTAATATGTTTGAGAGTGTTTGTTTAATCATATAATAGTGAATGTTTGTTTGATAATAGAAATATTAATTCAGAAAGAAACAAAATATAAATTGAATTTATTTGCTGAATTTCACTTAAATTTTGAAAGATAGAGAGAGAGAGCAACTAAATAATAGAAAAGAATTTTTAAGTAAGAATTAATTAATTAATTGATATTATTAGTTTTTGTATTATATTTATATTATTCAATCTAATTAGCATATAAAGTAAATTGTCTAATATAAGCCAATAATTAATATAGCAGGTAGGTCTGTCTGTCTTTCTTTCTTTCATACAAAAGTGAATAAATATAATTAGTAGCTTAAATAAATAATTTTATAAAATGGATTTGGTTGAGCCTTATATCAAGTTTATTACGGTCTGTGACACGCACATGCATCGACATGAGTATAAAGAAGCGTTTTTGGTCTTAAGCCAAGTCAAGTATTTGATAGAAAAAGTAAATGATCTGCTTTTCGATAATGATTTTAATTCAAGAGCTGCCCTCTGTGCTCTTCTCTACGGCTAGCCAGAAGAAGCTCTCAGATTAACTGAAATGGTCAATTTGAATACTCCTGGTTATTTGCTTGTTTAGGCATTAAGAGGCTGGGCTCTTAAAGAAATCGGATACCAAAAGAGGGCTAATGTTTTATTCAATTATGTGTTGAATTCAGTGCCTGATACAGATTCTGTGATGGATTGTTTAGGAGCAGCTATCAGCAGCAAATTATTAGGAAGCGACTTAAGTAAGTTTTTCTTTGAATTTGCTATTGAGAAATTCGAGACACTAACAGGAAATGATAGAAAATTGAATCTCCTTTGGGGTGTCTTTGCCCATTTAAAAAAGTCAGAGCTAGAAACAGTAATAATATTTTTAATCATAATTTCATTAGACATGTTAGGCAAACAAGCATCTACACAAATGAAATAAAAATTAAGAAATGTCAAATAGAAAATTTTTGAAGATGATTTTAATTGGAGTCTAATTGATAAAATAATTTAATTTTTACATTAAAGTATAAATAATTTTAATGAAATCAAAGAAAATTGTCACAAAAAATTTGGCAGTATTATTAAAAAAACCTTGTAAGTATTTAGATAATTTACCTTTAATCATTATAAAAAAGATAAACCAAAACAAACAAAAATATTATTTGAGATAGATTTTAATATAAATATTTTATCGTTCAATGATTTTAAACTTGCTAAAATATTTTAATAATTTTATTAACATAAAAATTTACAAAAATTATGGTTTAACACTGCAAAATAGATAAATAAATAAATAATCTATTTTTATGTTGAAATATCTTAAAAATTCTGATTAATGTAAAAATTAATTAAATTTCAATTAAAAAGGTTGGAAAAGTTTTTCTTTAGAAATTTAAAAAAAATCTTTGATATTCTTAAAAGTTTTTAATAATTTATTTTAAAATAAGATTTCGTCAGATAGGCAAAAGACTTTATTGAAGAGCTTAGAGCTTACAAAAGAAAGTGCTGAAGTTTATGATTACTTAGGCTAAACTTATTATGCTTAAAAGCAATACGATTTAGCTCTTAAATGCTATTTAAAATCAATAGAAATTAGTCCTAATTGTAATTTTTATAGACATATCAAAGTGAGCTTCATTTATTTCTATACTGGCAGAGAGGAACAAGCTAAAACTTTTGTCTTACGCTTTTTGGAGCAATCAAGAGATCTTTATATATTTTATTGGATTTTATGTCCTTCTATCCAACTCATGAAGTCAAATGAGCACAGTGAATTTGAAAAATATTACAGAATAGGTTTGCTACTTTATTATTCTCAAGTTTACTACTCAAGCTACATTATGCTTTAGAAGGCTAAAGAATATGATCCTTATAATTATAAATTGTGCATTTTCATGTGTATAGTCTAAAGATACCTTGGTCTGTTGGATGAGGCTATTTAAAATTTGGAAGAATTAAAAAATAGCAAATATTAAAACGATATCCCTTTAAATATTATTTTAGCAGAACTGTACACTGTTTCTCAGGATTATGAGAAAGCGGAGGAGATGTATTAAAAAATAATAGAGTTAACTCCAAATAAATCATTTTCTATCTATATATATGTAAAATTTTTGAACAAAATGAATCGCCTAGATGATTCTCTAGTCTAAATTAAGAAAGCAATAGAATTAGAGCCAAGAAAAGTGAAGTTATTGATTATGCAGGCATTAATTTATTCTTCTTTGAAACAACTAGACAAAGCGTATGAAACATATGAGGAAGTCCTTAAAATAAATCCAAATTTGTAAAGCACGAAATATCAGCTTTCTCAAATAAATTTTGTCTTAAATAATTACTAAAAGTCTTTTGATTAAATGATTCAAATAAAAGAAGGAGAAGTTGGCTATGAAAAATGTATTAGTTTATTAGTGAAGCTTTTTATTAGCTATCCTCACGAATTAACTAAAGAGCAATTAGAATATGCAAACACTCACCTCAGGGATAGAATTACACATCATTTAAAAACTCTGGGAGAAAGTAAAAAGCAAAAGAAAAAGGCGACTTAAAAATAAAGTAAAAAAGGTTAGGATTTAGAAAGCAAAGGTAATAACTAAGCAAACGAAAAAGAAGCAAACTTCAATTTATAATAACAAGAAAATGCTAACAGTTAAAATAACTAAGATAATATTGATGAAAACTAAGATAAATCAAAGAATTAAAAAGGGAAAAAAAATAATTCTAAGAAAACCAAAAAAGGTAAAAAGAAAGGTACAAAGAAAGTTGTAGAAGAGTAGGAAGAAATTTAAGAGGAGGAAAACATAAAATATGGCTAAGAAGAAGAGGAAAAGCAAAATAATTAAAAAGATTAAATTGAAGACGAAGAAATAAAATTAGAAAAAGAGTAAAAAAATGAAAAAGCTGATGAGCAATAAGGAGCTGAGGGTGAAAACGAAGATTAAGGTATTGATGAAGAAAGAGAGATTTAAAGGCTATTAGAAGGATAAAGTGATAGCTTAAGTGAACTGGACGAAATAGATTTAGAGATTAATGAGTCATTAACTTCTCCTGGCTCTTCTTCTGAAAGCACTGAAGATTGCTACAGAGAATATTTATAAAAAATAAAAGAAGAAAATATTAAAGATAAGCAGGAAATATATGAAGATTATTCTAATTATTTTCACAAAAACTAGCATTCTTATACAAAGTTACTAAATTAAGCTAGGAAGATTAAAATACAAAATTTATTTGAGGGAAATGATATTGATTAAATTTTGGCAGATGAATTGGATAAATTAAAAATATAAAACAATAATGAAGAAAATGATTAAATTCTAATTGAAGAAAATAATTAAAATGCAGACGATGAAATTCCTGTTCAAGATAATAATGAAAATTTGAATAATAACTTAGAGCAAGAGAATGAAGAATAAAAAACAGAGGAAAATGCCTAAGAAGGATAAAGTTAAAATAACTAAATTGAAGATGAAGAAGTTAAAAATTCTATTAAAAAGAAAAAAATTAAAAATAAAATTGTTTCAAATAAAAATAAAAGTAAAAAAATACTTCAAAAAAAGTCTAAATTGAAAATAAAAAATAGCTCAAAAACTAAATAATCTTAATAAAATGATGTCAAAGTAGCTAAAAAGGTGAAAAAAGTAATAACAAAAACCAAAACATAAAATTAAAATGAAAATTTAAAAAAGTAGAAGAAATAAAAAAATGTAAAAATATTGGAAAAAAAAGAGAAGAAGGAAAAAGCAGATGAAAAAGTGATTAAAAAATAGTAAAATGATAACTAAAATAGTATAAAAAAATAAAATATTTAAAAACAAAAGCCTTAGTTAAATATAAAGAGTTAAATTGAGTAAAAATTAAAAGAATCAAAGAAAAATTAAAATAAGGTAGATACTAGCAAACTAAAAGTGTAAAAAGAAGTTATATTTAGAAAAACTAGAAGTTAGGCGTCTACCAAAGATCCCTTAACTAATAAAAAGGTTAAATCTTCTACACTAGAAACAACGAAGCAAGCTAAATAAAATGAGAAGTAATCTATTAGTAAAGAGTAAAAAACTTCATCTAAAGTTAAAGTTTCAATTTTAAAGACTAAAACAAAAACAGTTAAAAAATAAACTAAAGTTGTCTTAAAATAAATTAAACAGAAGAAGAAAATAGTTAAAAAAACAGAAATAATTAAGAAGGCAATTAAAAAAGATATGACAAAAAGAATTTTAAGATCATCAACAAAAAAAGATTAAAAAAGCTGATATTTATATTATATTTTAAAATCATTTAATTTTAGGCTTTAAATTTTATGTTGTAAATTTCTAAAAAATACTTTATTTTAAATTTTAAAAAATTTCGATTAAACTAATCTTTTTTTTATAAATCAAACTACTTTTTTAAAATACTTATTTATTAGTTAAGTTTATAAATAAAAATTCTTCCTTTCATCTTATACTATTTTTAAATTCAACACTTATTAAGAGATTTTATGAGTTTGAATGAAATAATTAATAAAGATTTCTTAAAATTTTAATTTTTCTGATTTTTTATTACTTATTATGAATTTATCTTTTATTTTACAATTTTCTGTTTCTTAAAGGTTTTTTATTTACACACTAAATTTTAAAAAAGTTAAATTAATCTAGTTTCTTTTTTTCGAAAGATTAATAAAAAGAATATTATTTTTTTATTCTTACAGTTCTAAAATAACTGTTTCTTAAATAATATACAGACTTATCTTAATTATTTCAAATTAAACTAAATAAAATGGTTTATTATGACTAAATTGTTATGTCTTTATTTTTTATATAGAACTTATTATCTCTTTTAAGATTTGTGAGACAATCTATATATAAGCTCATTCATAGCATGTATAAATAATAAGTGATATTTGAAGGTTTTTATGACTTTTTAATGAAAAATATAAATAATGTTATAAAATTTATTAAATATTTTGCTCTTTTTCATTAAAATTAATATTATATTTATGATTAACAATTTAATATATTTATTTACATGTTTAATGTTATTTATTGGTTTATTGTCAAATATTTAGTAAGATTTATAACCCAAAAAATAATTAAATTGAATATTTGATTTAGATATTAAATCTGATTGAAAATAAATAGAACAAATCATTTCAGAAATTAAACAAAATTATAATTATTAATAAAAAAAATATTTTTCTAGGCACAGTGAAATCTGATATGAATAAGTTATCAAAAAGACCTATTATATCATATGATCAAAGTAATTAACAGGAAGGTAGCTTTTTAAAATAAGTCTAATTGAGAACTAATTTATTCTAAATGAGCAATACTATAAATACAAAGAATGATGTTTAATAATAAATAATTATTTACCATTACAGTATAAAAATAATTCCTTCTACTTGCATAAGAGTGAAAAAACTTTTATGGCAAGCTCGAGAACTGTTATAAAATGTATATGGTAGAAACTTTATCTCAAATCAAGAAATTTATTCTTTTAAAAAGGTTGAAGAAAATTAGAAAATATATATAGAAATTGAAAATATTATTTATTGCTTAAAAATATTCTATAGAAGAGAGATAGAATTAAATTTAACAGAAAGCAATTAAATAAATTAAAATAAAACTTTATAAAAAAAGATATCTAGTCTAGCAATATAAAGTATAAGCGCTATTTACAAATCAGTTTATAAATAATTTCAAAAAGACATTCTTAAACAGACTGGACTTGCTAAAAATGATTGCAAACAATTAGACCATTATAATTTTTAATGCTTTTTTAGAGAATAGATTAATTATAGAGCAAATTTAAATGAAGCAATCTTGAGTGATTAAAATCTTAGCTCCTTGCTAAAAGATGTTAAGAATCAAAAGAATGTTGAAGATATTATTTTAGGAAAATATGTGAGGATGAAGCACTAATTAAACAAACTGTATTAAATATAAAGAATTGACTATACTAAGAATCCACTAAGTACATTCTATTGTGCGAAGTATAAGTAAAATATGACATTTTAGAAGTATTATAAGGAAAGGTACAACTTAGAAATAATAGATTTGAATTAGCCTTTGTTTGTTGTAAACATAAAAAAACAGTCAATTTAGCCTATCGATTAACATATTAAATATCAAGAAATTTATTTAATTCCAGAATTTTGTTTGATTTTTTTCCAACTAAAACCTCAAAAATTCAACAAAATTAAACAAATTCAAGTTAATTTGAGATAAAAGATTTATTATCTAAAATTTTTATAAAAATTACAACACGAAACAGGAATATAAATTAGCAAAGAAAGTTGCACTGTAAATGCATATGCATTAAATCCACCAAAATTAATTTTTTAAAAGAATAAAAAATTTATTGATTTAAAAAATTCTAAAACTAATTTTAATATATCCAACTAAATATTAAGTAATATATCATTCAAAGAATGGATTTTTATATATCCAAAAAGTGATGCAAATTTGTGCTTATAATTATCATAATAAATTTAAGAATAAGGTCAAGTGCTAGGAATTAGAATTCCTCAACCAACTATGATATAAATGAAAAGGCACAATCTTTCAGATGGAATAAATTTATTGGAGAATTACTTTTTAGTGAATTAAGTACCTTAATTTATTCTTTCTTATGTAAATTTTAACCATCCAAGACAATAAACTTTTTACTAAGAACTGAAATTATATTTGTATGCTACTGTAGCCATTGAGCACTAGCATTTCAATGATGATTTTTCTTGCCATAAAAATAAAAATGCTGCTATTTCTTCTCTAATTATCTAAATTGCTTCTAAATTAGGATATCCTTTATGGTAAACACACATTCCTAATCAAATATTTAATAAAACAATGATCATAGCAATCGCAGTAGAGCAAAAAACACTCCATCGTAAATTAATAAATTACATGAAAAAATTATTTAATTTTTAATTAATTCAATCAAGATTATTGATTAGTTTTTAATTTAAAATAATTTTATAGTTAATAAATAATAGCAAATGATAGCAGTTGTTACCACAATAAGCAAGGATTTTACTTAAATGCACTCAGAGATTTTTTTTAATGAGATATAAAATGGACCAATTTCAATACTCTCTAAAATTATTTTGAGCTCTATAAAGAATTATGTTTTAAATACAAAACAACTTCCTGATTAAATAATAATATATAGATAAGGTTTAATAGAACCTTCCTTATAAATAGAAAAGGAATCTATTATAAATGGTTTTAGGCTTTTTAAGGAAGATTATTAACCTAAATTTGCTTATTTTTGTGTTAGTTAATCCAAAAAGCAATAGATTTTCTCTTAAAGTGACTAAAAGATGGATATCACCGGAAGTGTAATTCCTTTGGTACAAAATAATTAAGTGAAATTTGAGTTTTTTCTTTGTTCTAAGATTATCTAAGAAGGTTTTAGCATACCAACAAGATATTCATGCTTATATGATGATACTTTAATCTCATAAGAGTAGCATTGGCAATTTACTTATTACTAATGCTTCAATTACTTTAATTTTCAAGGAGCATTAAAGATACCAGCACAACTTAAATATGCTTGTAAGCTATTAAAATTTAGAAAATATGTTATGGAAATTGATCCATCCAAAGACTTAAAGCAAAGCTTTTACTATATTTGAAAATTTTAATCTAAAGTGAATTACTCATATCTAAATGGATGGATACTAAAATAATAATCTAATAAATTAATTATTAATTAGAATTAATTAATAATCTTTAAAATTTAAATAAATAAAGTAGCTTTTTTATCTAATACAATGTATTTGAATTATATATTTCTAATAAAAATCCTATTTTAATAATAATCAATCACTTTATGTAAAATATCTCATTTTTAAAACACAATTATGTATAATAAAAACTATCTTAAGTTGTGCATGCTTTTAATAAAAAAATATATATTAATAAAAATTGGCAATCTAATTTTATTAAATTATTTTGATTATTTAAAAATCAAAATTAAAAAAATTCGACACCTGTGAGAATTGAACTCACGCTCCCAGAGGGAAACGGCTTAGCAGGCCGCCGCCTTAACCACTCGGCCAAAGTGTCCTTCATAACATTAATTTTTTTCAGTGAGATAATTTATTATGACCATTTTCAGCTCAATCAATGATTTCATTAAAATCACATAAAAAACTTTTTGATAAATCCTTAGCTAAATTTATAAATGAAAAAATAATTTTATTACCTTATTATCAAATTACTTAATATTGAGCTATGTAATGGGGAAGGGGGGATGGATCTCACCTAGGAATGTATTCATTTTTGAATTGAGTTGGTTTATAAATAAGTTTTACTTTATTTATTCACTCATCACCCATAATCCCTTCCCTCCTCTAATAAGTCAGCTAATATCTAAACATTTTGTGGTAATGCTTACATTATTAAAATCATAATTTAATTTAATAAAATTGCAAAAATATTAAATTTTCTAATAATTATTTAAATTCAAAAATTAATGCATCAGATATGAATTTTTATAAAACATGCTAAATTTACCTCAGTCAGTGTGATTAATTTCAAATATTTTCTTTCCATAGCAACAAATATTAATTATTAAATTATTTTTTAATTCAAAATAAATTTATTAATATTGAAAAAACTATGTATGAAAAAGCTCTTGATATATTTATTTATTTTAACCCTTACTAGAATTAAAAATACTTTATTAAATATTAACTTTTTAATTTGTACTTATAAACATTTAATTTATATGTTTTTCAAGAACCAAAAGATACTTAATTATTTTATCTAATTAATAAAAAATTCGACACCTGTGAGAATTGAACTCACGCTCCCAGAGGGAAACGGCTTAGCAGGCCGCCGCCTTAACCACTCGGCCAAAGTGTCCTTCATATCATTGATATTAAGTAATTTTAAGATACTAAATAGGAAATAATTTATCACTTTGTTTATTATTTTATAGATTAATATGTATGTAATAATATTATTAAATTATTTTTTACTATCTAAATAATATAAAAATCAACTAAAATATTATCAGAAAATAGAAACATGAAACAAATAATTAAGTTTCATAGTCAAATTAAAATATTTTAGCTTTTTATCAATAAAAATTTTAAATTTAGCTCAACAAAATAGCTTTTATTATAATTTAAAATAAAAATTTACTTCCAGCAAAGAAAAATGTTTCTATTACATAGCTAACACCTGTAAATATGTATAAATTGTAATATTTTTAAATCAAATTACTACTAAATAATCAATTGAAGATTTTAAAAATCTATTTTGAAATAAAAATTCGACACCTGTGAGAATTGAACTCACGCTCCCAGAGGGAAACGGCTTAGCAGGCCGCCGCCTTAACCACTCGGCCAAAGTGTCTTTTTATACACGATTTGAATACTTCTTGAAGTTATTTAAATCTGATAATTTTTTTTTAATAGTACTATTTTTTTTAATGACCATTCAATCAATAATATATTTGTGAATACTAATTAATAATGTCTCATTTTATTTTTTATAATTTCAATATCTTAAAGGATGAATGTATTTATTTATTTAATATTGACCTATAAATCATAATAAGAGATCAAGTTATTAATTTTTTTAACTATTACAATACAAATAAAGAAACAAATTTTTTTGTTCAAAATATTTATTTTTAATTGGGTATCTTACTGATTAAAAAAAAATATATTTTGCATATTCAATCTATCTACTAGAAAATATTATTTAAATATCTTTTAATTAATTAATTAATATTTTAACTCAGTAAATAATAATAAGAATAATCAAAAATATTAAAAGTAGAAACTTTGAATAAAAAGAATAAAAGTTTATCACTTAAATTTTTACAAAACTAAGTAGAAAAAAATAGACTCAATTATTAATCAATTAATTAATTAATTAGGTTTATATATTTAAGTATCAGCTATTCTATGAGTTCTAAAATTTATTAAATAATTTATGTTATCAAAGTAAGAAAAAATTACTATGATTAGTTACTAATAGTTATGTTTAATTAATCTGACATTATTTTTAGAAAAAATACAAGAAATTATGCATTAGGTCTTGTTAATAAATTTAGTTTACATTATTTTAAATTAAAATATAAAAAAGACTTATTTAATATTTTGGTGATTGTATGATTTATCTATTAAAATACTAGATTATTAATAAGCAATCACTTGATTGATTTATTAAAACAATTAAGAAGAATAAGAAAGGATGAAACAACTAATAATCAGGCTCCTTGTTATAGTATCAATACCTATAATAATTGGAGTAGCTTTGGTTTTATCTACATTCTATATACTATTATGGGAAGCCTTAGATTAATGGTAACCATTAATAATTTAAGCAAATAAAAAATCACTTGATATAGTCTACTCAAATGCTTAATTAATTACATCCTTCTTCAACTACTAATATTATTAATTAAATATGTTAGGGAATTAGAAAGCAATTCTTGGATAAACTAAACGCAGTAATAAGTGCTATATAATTAAGTTTTTTCTCAATAAATTTTGCAGGAATATAGCTTTAATTAGGTAGAATAAGGCTTATTTTTTGACATATTTTGTTATTAAATGCTAAAATAATATTAAAATAATTATTGAACATTTTTTATAACATTAATAGCTGGAAATACACATGGTCATCATTAAGTCATTACTTTAAAAATTTGATTCATCTTAAATTAAATGTAAATCTAAAATTATTTTAATAATTAATTAACTTTTTATTAATGTCTAAAGAAAACTATGATGCAGTTTTTTCTATCTGCTCTTATAGAGAATTTACTTTTAATTAGTGCTCCTAATAGATATACAAATAGCTTAACTAGAGTTTGTTTTATGGTGATCTCTATTTTGTAAGGTCTATTTTCAAATTTAACTTACTTACACCTGAATAAAAATATTTCATACAAATGGTAAACAAACAAGATTAGACTTAATAAATATATTGTTATGTTGTTTAATTAATCATAGAATAATTACATTTCTTTTTATGCAAGAGCTGCTTTTATGGCTTCGCAAACTAATGGAATTATTTAACTCAATTATATTTACAACTCTGACACAACTTCCGTCCTAACAGGTGTCCCTTCTTAGTAATTATATTATTTAATCAATTAGTCATTTACTAAAAATTTTTACTTTTAAGGTCATTTAATTTCACTGATTCACAGTATGAAACATGTTTTGGAAGTAGCTTTGTAGAACCTTATGATCCTAGATGTAGAAGTTGGTATTAATATGCTTAATAAAATCAAGGTAGATTTTATTAATATTTAAAACAAATAAATACCCTTAAATAACTTTAAATATAATTATTTTTTTCAATCAAATGAAAAAATATTTTAAATTAATATTTTTCTGCTTATAATTAAAGTTAAGCGAATATAATATATTTCTATTATTACTATTATAATTATTATTAAATTTATATAGGAAATTTTATATACTAGCCTTATTAAGATGCGGTAGTAGGAAACTTATTGATGACTCTCTCTAGCTAAGTAAAAAAAGAAAATGCATTTTATTCAGTCTTGAGCATAGATTTTTTAATATAAAATCTAATATCTCTATTTAATAGTAATCTAAGTATTGAATCTTATCCTGTCCTAATCCATGAATTTGATGCAAGAGTATTTTTTTTTTAAATATGTATATTTATTTTAATTGCTTTTCTTAATTTATTAAATAATAAATTAGGTATTGTATCATCCACTATAAGTTTTCTACAAAACCATATCTTGGCCAGATATAGAATTCTTCAATATTAATTAGTTCTGTAGTAAAAATAAAGAAGAAATGGAACTATGTCTTTCTTAAAAACAAAAATTATCACAATAAGTTAATTAAACAATAGAATTCATAAAAACAGGGAATTATTCTATAGAGTAGTAAATTAATTTAGGTAGATTGTATCAATATTGGGAAAGATTTGGATAAAAATAGTAATATTTTTGTTTTTATTTATAATTACTACATTTCCATAAAAATTATTTAATATACCTTAAAATATTTTCTAAGCTTTCTTAAATTTTAGAATAAAATTGAAAATTAAAATGAGAAAAAGGTATAAAAATCTAAATAAATTTTACAAATGATTTGGTTTAAAATAATTAAAAATGCAATATATCCTTCCATCCATCCATCCTAAAATTAAAAAAGTCTTTATAAAATTAAATAGAAATTTTAAATCTCAATTAATTAAATTATTTTATAAGAATTAGTCTGATCTTTCCAATATAGAGCAAGCTTAGAGGACTGAATAATTAATAGCCATATTCATATGCAATAATTTTGATAGTAAAAGTAATTATAGATAATAGCGATAAATTTAAAATATTTAATCTTTTAGACATAAACATTATAAGAATACCTTTAATAGTTGAGTTTGTTTCAGTAAGTGCTATAATAATAATTTTTTTAATTAACTATGGCTACTTTTTAGTATACTAAATACAATAGCCTATTTAAATATTAATTATGTTTTTAAAAAGGAGTCATATGCAGTAAATTTCTAGTTAATAATAATCCAGTATCGCAACAATAAAATAATAAAAATTAAAAAATCAATTTTCATCATAATTAAACTCTACTAAAAAAAAGCCAAATTAATCAATATTTAGCAACATTATTCAAAAAAAGAAAATTGATGAAAAAAATACTTAGATTTAAGTTTCATTAAATGACCACTAAAATCTATAAAGCATATATAATTTAGGATTAAATATTACACAGCCACTTTCTCTTGATAAAACTTTAGATGAAAATCAAAGATTTTATACTAATTCTAAATAACAAAAAACTAATAAATAAAATTTTGAAGATTTTAACTCGAGAGCTGATAATAACGAGAATTGCACTTTACAGAATTTTACAACAAAATAAACTTTTTAAAATTCAAAGTATATATCAATTTAATAAGTTAATCAATGCTAATTTACATATATTAATGATATTCATTAAAATTAAATTGCAGAAGATTCATACGAAAATTAAAATTATTAATCACCTCGAACTAACCACTCTGTATCAATTCTAAAAAATAATAGACTAACAATGTAAAGTGATTATATTACTCAACTAGAGAGCGTGTAACAAAGAAATAAGGAAGAAGATAAAAACAAGATCCTCAAAGGATTAAAACCTCTATTTTTAGAAATGAAGATTATAAAAAAGGTTTTTTAGAACTTAGAAAGTGTTATCAATTATTAGATTGACTCTTAAAACTAGAACTCATAAGACACAATCAACAGTCTTTTCCACTTTGCAAAGGCTAAAAAAACATTTTAAAATCTTAAAAATTTAACTGGGCTTAGCAGATGCTATTTTAATTTAGGACTAATTTATCTTTTAATGAATGAATATAGTTTAGCTTCAGAATATTTTGAGTCATCCGTTTAATAAGGAATTGAAGTAATTGGTATTGATTATGAAAACATTCTCAATTTAAAAATAGTTAAATCTGAAGACAGTATTTAAAATTAGATATTGATTTTATCTAAAAGGATATTTTCGAAAGCTTATTGTTTGAAACAATAAGCTCTTTAATAAATATATTTTATTAATGATCAGCATGAAAAAGAAAATGTATAAAACTATTAATAAAATTAATAATAATGCTAACCTAATTAATAATCTAATTTAACTAAGAACCAATTTATAAAACAAACACTGCAAAAATCTTTAAATTTGTTTTTAGCAGTTTAAAAAATAGTTTAAAATAGCTTTGAATGCTTTTCACATATTTTCAAAATTTATTTATTATAAGAAATAACAGAAGTGATAATTCATTTAAATCAGAAGGATTAAATTTAAAAATATTTTAATAAAATAGAAGAAATTTTATAACAATTAAATGAAAATCCTAAATAAACAGATGGACCATTTAAAAAAATATCTTTTAATAAATCTATTTAATTTTCCTATAAGAATTTATATTAAAGAAATTATCTAGACGAGGTATCTTAAATTAAAGAACTCTAAAAGAGTAGATAATATTTTTTATAAGGTTTAAAAGAAAAGGTAAATTAGAATTACTTAACTGCGATTTTGCATTTTACAAGGTCTATTGAGGAAGGTACTCATTACAATCCATCAATGAGGAAGAAAGCAATATATCAAATTAATGAATTATTTTCTAATCTTTAATTTAAATAAATTAATGTTGAATAAAAATACTTGAAATATGAATAAAACATATCAATAGATTTAGTCATTTTACTTCAACTTGAATTTTAGTTGCAATACTCTACTTTTGAGTCTTGTTTAGAAAAAATTAAAAAATCTAATTTCTTTAGAAGTTAAGATAGAATTAAAATAATTGTTTATCACTCAGATTTGGATGTTTATATTCCATTTACAATAATTAAAGATGATTAAATTTGGAAAATGGTTTTAGATTCATTAAAAAATATCACTAAAAATATTACTCAAGATATAAAAAAATGTTACAAATAACTAAGTTGGTAATAGGCTTTATTCTTTTGCCTTGGCTAACATTAATAATACAGTAAAGAAGATTTAATGTACTTAAAACAAATCTATTAATGGAATAAAAATTAAACAGATGATACACCAATTTAAGCTTATTAAAAAGAAGAAACGGAATATAAATTAGAATAAAAAAGCTATCGAAAAAAAATAATTCTTCTGTTCTCAAAGTAATAATAAAATGATGATTTTAATTTTGAAATAAAAAAAACCATTAAAATCAAATTATCCAACTAAGAAAAACCTATAATCTTCCATTTTAAAGAATACTCTGATGCTGGTTATCAAAAGTAAACATACTCTTCCCAACATTTTAACTATGAATGTTTTTTAGACGAAAATATACTCATCACTAAGCTAACCTAATAAAGAGAACTATAAAATTTTAATAATCAAAATGAATTTTTAACTATTTTAAATAACTCATGATCGATCATACACATATAATTTATTTATTTATTTGTTTGTTTTATTAATTACTTAAAAATGCATTCAGTATATTTTTATAAATTTCAAAGATTTTCTTATCATTTTTAAAAATTTGATTTATGAAATGAAGTAAAAACTTAAATAAAAAACTGTATGAAAACACAATAAATAAATTTAATTTTTTATTGATTTTTATATAAATTATCAATAATATTAGTCTATCCTCTACCTATTATACTTATCTATTTCAAAGATAAATTTTTATTAAACAATTCTAGTTAAGAGTAGTAACATATTCCCAAAATCAATAATAATTTGCTTAGTAAAATAAGTAGAAGTCAAGAGTAATTTATATATGTATTAATTAACATTAAGTATATTTAATTATAAAATAAAAGTAGGAATAACAAACATAATTAGTAGTTTTTAATTAGTATGAAATATATAATTTTAAGACTTATAGCAACTGTGTCACTGCCTATAATAATTGGAGTTGGATTAGTACTGGGAATCTATTATAATATTTTATTAAAAGCTCTGAACGAATGGTATGTATGCTTTGTATTCTTAAATAACTTTATTTTCATTTCAAAAGAGGATTTTTATATTAGAATTATAATAGCGCGCATAAGAATAAATATTTTGAAAATATAGGGAGGAAGATAGTATTTAATGGATAAATTAATTGCAGTAGCAGACATTAAAAAATTCTGCTTATTCTTCATAAGTTTTACTTGAGTATAGTTTTAATTAGGTAAATTATTTTGTAATATTTCTGACATTTAATTTTTTAATGTGAAAACAATAATAATAAATAGCTAGAATTGCATATGGTAGTAGTTGCTGGCTTAATAAAAAAATATTAGAATTAAGAAATTATTTGTATGATATTATATAAAAATTAATTAAATGTTTTCTTAAATTCTTTTAAAAAAAAGTTAATCCTAAAACAATATTTACTGTTTGCTCTTATAGAGAGTTCATTTTTAATGAATGTCCTTAATTTGTCTATGACTAATTGAATGAAAGTATATTTTATGCTGACCTTTATTTTGTTAGAAGCTAATTTAAATTCAATTTACTAACTCCATAGTAAAAATATTTCATCAAAACTGTAATTAATCACCACATTTTTAAAATAAATAAATAAATAAATACTTACTTTTTCAGATTATATTTAAGTTTTTTACATTTTTAACTTAGAATGATTTTATATCTTTTTATGGAAGAGCTGCATTTTAAGCATCATACACATAAGGTTTGATATAAATTAGTAATATTTATAATTCTGATAATACTGGTGTTTAATAACCAATGCCCTCAGTGTAAATTTCATATTTTTAAATTTAATTAACATATTTAGATAGATAATCATTTTATTTCTAAAAT